TTAATATTAATAAACTACGTACCCATTCATAGGAGAGGATCCAGCAGCCACGAGCTATGCCCAACAGAATATTGAGAGTCCGTCGGTGACCCCCAGACACCACATGAGTCGTGCTCTCACAAACTCGGTCAAGGATTATAAAACCTCCAAGTGTTTTCACCACCTGAGCTACCGTGGTCTGCTTCCTACAAGACGTGATGAGGGTAGAAAGTATCCAACACGAACAATTAAACATTAAATTGATTTTTTTAGCAACGGGTGATATTTTTTTATCTTTTAAATGTTTGAGGTACTTACTCAGAGGGCATGCTTGTCATCACCAATGTTCTCATTCCCTGAAACAAAAACGAAATCAATTAAACCATTACACATGCTATTGAAGAAGAATTTGTATAAGTCTGTTCAAAACGACGTAATATTTTTCACATGACTTGCTAACAATTACAGATTTATAGAAAGTCTATAGATCTCTGACAAAAGTGTATATTCGGTGACATTTTATTGGAGCAAAAATAGAATAACTCTGCACTCCATGCTGAACAAATATAAAATATAAAGTAGATAAAACAGTATTGAAAGTTTGTTTTTTATTTCTCAAAAACTCCTTTGGAATTCAATGCATATTCTTTTTCTTTTGGGTGAAAGCATTGTGAGCTGGTTTGGACTGTGCACTTTCAATAACCCCTTTAAATAGATGATTGCATAGAGACCAAATGGAAACTCCAACACCAAGGCCACAAGCGGGAAAAAATGTATTCAGAGCCACTGAAAAATATTGTGCTCCATCCTGCCATGTACTTTGGCCCCAGAAAGCCATCATCGACACAAACACCTGAGCAGCGCTTACAGGGACCACCGGACTCTTTCCTACTAGACTCTGATATCTGGTACTCCAGCTGCAAGTCAGGGGTTAAGGCCTGCTGCACAGTGATGCCAAAACCGTCCACCAGCCCCCCCCCCCAACCACCAGTCACATTAACCCTGATAAACAAGTTGGAAAGTCACTGAGTTGATTACCATCAACACATCACTGCTACATCTGGCCTGACAGAAGATTTTATCAGAGGAAAATGTTTTGATATTCAGATTTGCTAATGATTCACTACACTAAAGATGAAATAATGAGAAGTTATTCCCTTAAGATCAGTTAACTCCAGCTTATCTAATGCAGTGAACATGTTCTGGCAGTGGCACAAGAAAACAGGCATTCAAGAATGAGCCTCCGACAAAGAGATGGTGTGAACTGCTGCAGGGCCCCCGAGCACAAATGGAGGAAATTCTTCACTCCATGACTTGGCGGCACTGATGGCGACTATTTTAGCGCCCAGTGAAATGACGTTATACAGAAAATGATGGAGGGAGATGACGATCCTGGGTCTCTGTGAAAGTGGAGTTGAAATGTAGTTTTGAGCTGTGAGAGTCAGTTAGAGATAATGTTACCACTAAAGAACTCCTTACATAAAAACTGCCCAAAATATTCCACGGGCACATAAAGAGAACGACTCACGTCAGAGAAAATATGTCCTGTGACCGCAGTCAAACCAAACACGGCATAATGCAGAAGATCTGTGGGGAAAGATATGAACTGTGAGGAGACAAGGATGAATGATATGTGATAACTGTCTGTATTGGATTTCAAGAAATGATGTCTGGGTCATATAGTATGTGTCCATCACAGGCTGCATATCTAAAGATGGACGACTCATCTCCACTTCCAACAACTATCCAGAAATAAAACTAACATTTCCGGTATCGGGGGGTGGAGCCACGTTAGTTGGGTCCCACCATTAATTGCAGTCGACTGATCATAAGTGTGAGTCTCAGCTGTCAATTATGAGTTTTCCGTATAGCATTAAATAACCAATTAAAACCAGACTTATTGAAAAATTTATCCTTGAACAAACATGAGTGTGATAAGAACTACACAAAATGACGCAAACCATGTTTAATAAAAATGTAGTTGAAGAGTAATTTTGACTTTTTAGTTCATGTCCCATCTACTAACATGAAGAAGGTGGGGTTCATGAACTGTACTGCAGCCAGCCACTCTACAGTCTGTGTCTGCACAGACGACTGGGCCACCAGGGACCCCCTCTACATTTATCATTCAGCATTCTGCTGAAAATGAACAAAATAAAGTAAATTCTA